ATAACAAAGACATAGCAAATATTGAGAAATTTTACTATCTGTTGTCAGCTGTCAGTGGTTATGCGTTGACGATTGTTAAGTCGATGCCGGTTACATCGGACAATTATGAGATAGTTTGGAGCGCGTTGGTTAAACGGTACGAGAATAAACGGGCATTGGCAACTACTTATCTAGATAATATTTTCAAATTTAAACCATTAGTAAATGAATCAGTCATTGGACTTAATAGTTTCTTACAGACGTTTCAAGAAAATATTAAGGCACTTCAGTTACTTGATATTACCGACTTGTCAGGATTTATGTTATTTTATGTTGCTTTGCGTAATCTCGACTCCGTGACCAGGCGTGAGTTGGAGCGTGAATTGGAGCAGGACGAAATACCTACTGTTAGTGATTTAATTATATTTATAGAAAAGCAAGTACGCGTTCTCGAGATGTCAATGAGTGCTACAAATTCCACTACTACTAGAAGTGTAACGTACTCAAAAAGCCAGTCAAAGGTCAATGACCCTTATAATTCAAATAATTCAAATTTACGACGTACAAGGCCTTCCTTGTCGTCATTGTTGTCAATACAAATCACTCTGTAAAATCTAATAAATCCATTGAGTGTTTGTATTGTAAAAAGATGCATTCTATATATCGATGTATCGACTACAACGACCTGACTCCGATGCAGCGTCTCGACAAAATTAAACAAATGAATCTGTGTGAAAATTGTTTACGAGAGCATGTTGTTGACGACTGTCCATCTAAGGTACGTTGTACGATCTGCAAGAAAAAGCATCATCATACTTTGCACATTGATTCTGTTGCAAGTTCGAATCCTAGTGCGGTTACATTGACATGTTCAGCGGACTTGACTGTCTTGCTCGGCACCGCAGTTATACACGTCGCAGATTGTTGGGGCCAGTACCAACCCGTACGTGCTATAATAGATAGCGGCGCTATGTCGAGCTACATAACTCAAGACTGTATCAAGCGCCTCGGACTGTCGAGACGTAAATGTAATTTTAAACCTAGCGGTCTAGGTGGTAACCCAGTATGCGAATATGGTTTAAGTACATGTAAAATTAAGCCGCTACACGGTACCGGTCCTATCTTGTCGACCGATGCGGTTATCGTTTCAGCTATTACAGGTAACTTACCTACGGTGCACCTCCCTCAGAGGACTGTTGTGGAGTTTCAGCACTTAACGTTAGCTGATCCGTATTTTTATAAACCTGCGCCAGTCGAATTATTAATTGCTAGTGATCTATTTCCTTATATCTACAATGGCGATAAGATATTTTCTCGTTACCAAGGGATGCCTGTCGCGATGGGTTCCATATTTGGATATATTATATTGGGACAGGTTGAGCTTAATCATACGGATACTGTCAGAGACGGAGAACTGCCTGCTGACTCCAGTCGGAGTGGTACGTTTTGCGGACTTTCCATAAATCTCGATCAAATAATGCACTCCTTTTGGGAAGTTGAGAATATGCCGACTGATACACCTCTCCGTAGTCCAGAGGAGGAATTAGCAGAGAGTCTATTCCTGAAAGACTATCGACGCGACGACTCGGGTAGATATGTAGTCAAGTATCCGTTTCGTCCCTCGGTTGAATTAGGCGACTCGAGTCAAATGGCAACTCGTCGATTTCATAACTTGGAATTGAAACTGAAACGAGATCCTGAGTTGAAAGTTCAGTATCATAAATTTATGCGCGAGTATGAGGATCTCGGTCATATGACTTGTCTTGGTGATGTCCAGAACGTGGATTCGAAATATATCATCCCGCATTTTTGCATCATCAAGCCAACAAGCACCACGACATCTCATCGCGTAGTATTTGATGCTTCTGGCAAGACTTCAAATAATAACTCGCTGAATGATTTGGTGTTACCGGGTCCTAAACTTCAAGCTGACATTGTAGAACTATTAATAAATTTTCGTCTTCATGAAATATGTCTCTCTGCAGATGTTTGTAAAATGTATAGGATGATAACTCTCGATGAGAGTCAACGTCCGTATCAACATATTTTATGGCGTTACTCTTTAGATCAACCTATACAAATATATCAGTTGAATACATTGACATATGGCGTTGCTAGTTGTCCATATTTAGCTATTAAAGTACTTCATACTTTAGCGCATGACGAAGTAGAGCGATTTCCGTTAGCTTCACCCATTTTAAAACGGGCCTTTTTTATGGATGATTTGCTTTGGTCTGTAGCTACCGTCAGAGAGGCGATAGCGCTTCAGACGGACCTAATTAATCTCTTGAAGGCTGGTGGTTTTATACTCCGAAAATGGTCGAGCAATTGTCCTGAAGTCGTGGAGCACCTGGATGAGGCTCATCGCGAAACGCCAGTTGCATTCGATGATGATACCAACATGTCTATCAAGGTGTTGGGACTTCAATGGTTGCCAGCGAGTGATATGTTCACATTCGCTACTACTTCGCCTAATCCTGTCATTTCAAAACGAACAGTCTTGTCCCAGATTGGTCGACTATTTGATCCCCTAGGTTTTGCGGCTCCGTGTGTTTTTTATGCAAAGTGCTTCATGCAGGAACTATGGGCTCGACAATTAGGTTGGGATCAAACCTTACCTTTTGACCTTGAAGCTCGATGGCGGACATATGTCAATGAATTATCATTATTATCAAAATTAAAACATGATCGCCATATCAAGGTATCTCGCTATAATTATTGTCAGATTCTAGGTTTTTGCGATGCCTCGACTCTTGGTTATGCCGCGGTTGTTTATATTCGATCCAATAACGCAGATGGTGAAAGTAAAAATAGTCTAGTTATTGCTAAATCTAAGGTCGCGCCCTTAAAGACTGTTACCATACCCCGTCTAGAGCTAATGGCTGCTCATTTGTTGGCTAAATTAGTAAAATATACCCAGTCAATTCTACATGATCGATTAACAGTTAATGACACCTTGTTGTTTACCGATTCTTCCGTTGTTTTGTCATGGCTCAACAAGCCATGCCAAAGTCTCAAAACTTTTGTTTCAACTAGGGTGTCCAAAATTAATGATAGTGTACCTAGTCAATGCTGGCATCATGTGAGTGGTGCTTCTAACCCAGCTGATATTTGTTCTCGCGGTGCCTTACCATCAGCATTAATTGTTATGCATGAATGGCTTAACGGGCCTGACTGGCGTAATCTGGACCCATCACAGTGGCCTATTAAGACTATTGATGAATTTCGTGATGTTAATCCACCTGAACTTAAGAGTAAAAATGCCAGTACTTATTACCACAGAACCTGACTCAGATAATTTAATTTATAGTCTTACGGAAAGGTATTCAAAATTTGTTAAATTGGTCAATATTGTAGCAAGATGCTATCTTTTTATTGATAACTGCAAATCCACTGCTTCGAAAAGATCACTTTCAATTGCTGACATTAGGAAAGCACATGACAGCTTGATAAAAGCCGTTCAGACACGTCATTTTTCAAACGATATTTCGTCTTTATCAAAGGGTGGTCTTTGTAATCATTCGTTGAGAAAGCTCAACCCCTTCGTAGATTCCAGTCAATTCCTCAGGGTGGGGGGTCGACTTTCTCAATCAAATTTAAGTTATCCGAAGAAGCATCCGTTACTTCTGCCAAAGAGTACAAATTTTACTAAAATTCTTATGGATTATTATCATAAAATTTATTTACATGTGGGTCCTCGAACTCTTCAAAGTTTGATTACTCAAAAATATTGGATCGTTTCAGCACGTAGCGCTATTCGATCACGCACAGTCAAATGTGTAGCCTGTTTTAGGGTGTCTCCTACAAATCGACAGCCTATAATGGGTGATTTACCTAAATATCGCTCTCAAGATGTTCATGTATTTCATACAGTAGGTATAGACATAGGCGGACCTTTTCTTATTAAGGAATCCACCCGTAAGAATGCTCGCACATCGAAGTGTTATTTGTGCGTTTTCGTTTGTTGTTCCACACGTGCGGTACACTTGGAAGTCTTGTCTTCTCTTAGTACAGAGTGCTTTCTCGCATGCTTTGACCGCTTCGCGGCAAGACGAGGCCTTTGTAATTCTATAGTGTCAGATAATGGCACTAATTTTATATCTGCTGGAAAACAACTGAAAGAGGTTACAGATTTCCTTAATAAAAATTCGAATAGTCTGTCAGATGGGGTTCTATTTCGAGGTGTAAAATGGAGATATAATCCCCCAGCTGGAAGTAACTTTGGAGGTCTTTATGAATCCGTGATCAAGCAGGCAAAATTGCATTTGAAACGATCTATAGGCACTCGCGCTCTGTCGTTTGAAGAACTCAGTACACTCTTTTCTCGTGTCGAAGCAGTCCTTAACTCAAGGCCCCTCTGTGCCTTGTCTAGCGACCCCAATGAGTTTGAGGTGCTGACTCCCTCTCATTTTCTTATAGGTCGGGAACTCTTGACAGTCCCCGAGTATAATATTACAGATTTGTCTGCCTCTTATCTGAACCGTTGGCAGTTGGTCCAACAACTGTCACAGCAGTTTTGGAAGCTCTGGAGACAAGATTACTTGCATACTTTACAACATCGTCAAAAGTGGTTTACCAACTGTCGTAATCTGAATATCGGTGATCTTGTACTTATAAATTCCGATGCACCATCACTGAAATGGTCATTGGGTCGCGTTTCAAAATTACATAAAGGTCCTGATGGCATAGTACGTGTGATCACTATACGTACAGCTAATAATCACGAGTTTACACGTCCGGTTTCTAAAGTAAGTCCACTTCCATTGGATCAGGATGCAGATTAACAATACTTATAATAAAAAAAATAAAAAAAAAAAAAAAAAACAATATAATATTTTATAAATTTTATACAGTCCACTTATCTCTAAGTATATCTATATATTCAATATTTTTAACACTGATATCTATACGCATTTATTTACTTATATCACATACCTATTAGGGACTTTATTAAACTAATTCAAGTTCCACTTGGTATCGTAACTGGGAAATCCTGGCGGATTTCGGTGGGGGGAAATGTTGGGTTTTGTAATAATGGCTTGATTTTAAAAACTCCCGCCCACCTGTACTCGAACAAACTCGAGAGTTTACGCATGCGGCCGCATGCGCACTGAGCGCCACTGTCGCTTGAACATCAAGATCGAGAACGCGGCTGCGAGTGCTTTGTCTCAATTATTAATTCAAATAGCAAATTAAAGTGAACAAAACTAAGGACTTCACTGTGTAAACTATTCAATAACATCAGACAGTGTTAGTGTGTGTATAAATACGAGTCCCGGGACATGCACCAGGTGGTGAAATAATTCGGTGAGTCGCCATCATTATCAAGCCATTTTTCAATAGTTAAAAACTGAGCATATCGAACAATAGTATGTATTATAAATAATATATATATGTTTATCTCTAAAGTCATTAAAGTAAACAATGTTAATAAAAATAATACGGAACAGATAAAAAATTGACAAAGATATAATACAAAAGTAGAAGGATGATCCGGTAGATTATGTCAAGAGGAGTTAAGAGTTTTCGGAAGACCATGTTGGAGATAACTTTTGAATGAAGATTCAAGCAAAAGTTTAGCTAAGGCACTATTGTCACTATTTACCCGGTAAGGTATCTGGTGTGAAGATCTAGATAAATGGATAATATCTATTTATATCCTGTAATTATACAGAACAGCAGAGATATGTGACAACAACAAGAGACATGAGCTTAAGATTTGTGAAGTATCAACTAGTCATTTACTTTTATCCTGATTATTTAATATTTTATTATGTAACTCACTTATTCTTATCCGTCGGAGAACCTTACAAAATTGTACAAAGGTACAATTTTGTACGTTTTAAATTACTTCCAGCCAGGCTTAAATTATCAATAAACATTCCCCTACTTTCTCCGGCAGACGGGTAAAAATAAAAATAAGTGAGTTACAAAATAAAATGTCAAATAGCCAGTATAAGCATATCGTAAAACCATTAGAGTCACGCAAAAGTGATGGGGCCTCTCAGCCACCGATGTAAAATTGATTGATTTGGGCACAGAACTGCCAACTCTCATATTTTAGGTAGACAAAAATAGCAACAACATTTTGGAGGAAATTCAATAACGTAGATATATATCCGTTATAAATATGGCTCGTTTAATTTTGTAACATTGTTTGGCTATTCGCTACCGATGGATCAAGGGAAAGAGGAATGTGGAAAATTTGTAAACAAGCCTCATTATGTATTGTTTAATAATACCGATTGTATTATAATATCATTAAAAATGTCTCGTTAGTAGCTATTTGCTTCTAATGTATTTATTTAAATATAATATTATTTCTTCTCCAGTTTACGGAAAGCGGTTACACGTCGATAATACATATATTAAAATAAATAATCCCACTATAACTAATTAGGAAAATATTATAAAAAAAGTTTTTTTTAACAATAACATTCATGAGAAAATTATACTGATAACATCGTAATAAGGTATCTAACTCAGATTCCATTTATGTACACAGTTTACATCAAATTGGGTTTTGATAAAGCGTAGTATTCATAAATTATAATTATGTACTGTATTACTATAATAAGACTAGACTCATTAGGAAAGGTAAGTCACTAGTCAATCACCAAGGATTATTACCACGGATGATTACTACATTTAAAATAACAAACTGAGAAAGTCTGTAATTGAATCACGTTCTAGGCTGCCCTCGCTTTATTTGTTGAGAACGCGATTTATTCTATTTGGTCGCAGTTGGAAATAAATGTCTCTTTATTAAGAACAATACTTCTTTTTAAATTAATAAGCAGTTCTAAAGCAATGTATATACCAGTAGATGTACTATATTAGTAAATATATATAATATTATTACTATTATGTATAGTAATAGCACTACAACTATCATAGATTCAAGATTCTTTATTTATAAAAAATGCGTGATTATATTAAGAGATGTAACATGTAGAACGAATTTGTTCAACATATTTAGCCTTGGTGGTATTAAATGCTACATAAATTATTAAATTTAAATTTAAGTTACATATAAGTAATAGTAGAGTAGTAGAAAAAATATATGTAATAAATAAGTAAACCAATAAGAAGTACAGATTAAATAATATCATCACAATAAATTAAAAACGAAAAAACACATGACTTGGTGGTTTTAGATATATTTTACAGGAATACGAGCAAGCTGGCAGTACACATGGTGGTATGTGGTAACCGTTGTCTATATTTATAGGATACACCCACATCACGTCATCATGTGATGCCCGTTGTACCACTTATGCATGGCATTCCGGAGAACTAAGATGTCATGCTTCCGTACTCTGTAATTTCACTGCCTTATCTTACTCTTTTAATTTAACTTTTATATATAAATTTATTCTTAAAATGCTGTAGTGTCAAGTATAAAGAAATATGATTTCTATTTGTTCTCCGTACATCATATAAAATATACTTATATGAGTCCTTATTTCTACCAAAGTACGTTACTAAGCCTAAAGTCGAGAGTTTCGCAAATGGCGCTTGAATTATATAGGAGATTGCGCTGTGGATTATTCCAGGCGCCCGCAGCTTCATTGCGAAATGTACGCAGGTGTAACAACACCTTTATTTACTAAATTAAGTATGCTTTCTTTATTAAGAGTTTCACTTTCAGCGTTGTATTACGTAGGTTATTGAAAATGGTATGGAAGTTCCAATATTAATTCTTCTGGATATCTAACAGAATAAATTAATACGCAGAGAGACGGTTTTTTTAGTATTATAATATTATTTTACCACTACTATTACAGCTTAACTCGTAAAAAATAGGAACAATTTGAAGGTTGTCGAAACCTGATGGAATTGACTCCTGAGTGAGGTTCCTCGCTAGGGTGATGAACTTCGGTTCGGCCGTCGTAAATATTGTGTTATTACTGGAGAAACTACTCTCTATACTATATAGTATTGTAGTGACTCGAAATCGAGAATGATAAGTGGAGCGTACACAAGCCAATCGCGTAAGAAATTGGAAAGCTACGATGCTACGAGCGCATGTAACGAGCTACGAACGGTCTACGGAGTTACGATCACTACGAGATCTATACGGGTCATCGAGAGCGTGTAGCACCGGTGCCGGTAGCTAGGTAATACGTTCCTAACTCAATTTCAATAAGGCGCTCGATTTATTCCGTTTCCTCGTGGAACACCCTTTAATCCGGCCTTAAATTGCCTCAGATCAATGTTATTTCAAGTCGCATACATACGTCTCAATATTACGTGTAATCGTTAAATCAGAAATCATGTTTAAGTTCAAACGGGTTTAGATGAAAAGAGTGAGTGAGAGTCTCTTGAATATTAAGTATGCTAAAACGAAATGTACGTAAATATTGATGTAAATATAAAATAACCATAAGAAATAAAAAACAACGATTTTAAAAATAAGTAGAAAAGTTTGTAATATATATATGATACATGGGCGTACCCGGGAGGAAGTACGGGGGAAGAATATATATAATAAAAACAAATGCATTTCTGTCTAAACAAAACTCCAAAACCCTCTAGGCCAGAAGAAGAAATAACTGAATAACATCGTAAATTTTTGGATAAAAACACAAAGCAAGAATAATAATAAACACAATACAAAACACAAACGTAAATAAACTGACTAAATAAATATTTCAACAATATATTTTCCTGAGCACTTACATGATATAGGTAAAGATTGGTGTCACACCCCTTGTCCTTCTGTGCGGGCAGGCCATGCTCGTCATTGTCACCTGAAACACCGAAAGAAATACCTTCAATTTTGTAAATCGACAGCCTCCGTCCGGAGCGCCGATCCCTTTGGGTCTTAGGTCTATTTTACACTTGTAAGCTTTGCTTAGGGTAAATAAAATGTGTGTAACATTTACACAATTAAGTGATAATAAATTTATAGGAAATAAAATACAACCATTTCGATACTTATGTTAGAAAAGTAGTTTTTTTTTAACTTATTTATATCCTATAGTTTGATTACATTTCTACATACATTCATATAAAAAATAAACTGTGATGCATTAAGTAAACAATCATGCATCGCGAATGTCTATGCACTTTGGAGAAAAAAAATGCCATTTTATAATATGGTCTTTTCGTACTTTTTTCTAATGTACATAATAAAGTGAAATAGTGATCTAAAATAATTTTAAATACTTTTTTAATTCTTTAAAGTCAAACCAGGAAACAAATACATTAATAATTTTTAATATCTATGTGTAAAAGAAATATTAATTCACTAATGTTTAAAATTAAAATAATAAGACTGTGTTCCAGTTTTATATCGTTTGCATTATTTAAACACTATTAATACATACACAGAAGCTTCAAATAGTTTAGAATAATCGAATATTATTTTCTTTGCGAAGCACTTAGTGATCACATGTTGACTATAATTTAAATAAATAAAATATGTTCATGTTGTTGACAACTGAGACGTTGAACCTAAATGCTTTTGACCTAGAAATTGGGGTATTTGTACAAATTATATTATGGTAGATAACTAAAGTTAAAAACATAGTTACAGACATTTGCACAGTAAATGCGTAGATGCACGCGGCCGAAAGATCCCTTACTTTGATATAACTTTGATTATTCTTTTAAAAAATAACTTTATTTCAATACTACTTCAGTTGTATAACTAGGTATACATATACAGTATACATATAAATTATTTTGCACAGTGATTCAGGTGGAGTAAATATTTCTCGCAAAAGATATTGATTAAAAAGATAGTTAAGATAAAATTAGTAATAACTATGAGTAATACGAGAGATAGGTACTTCCAAAAATACATGAGACTAATAAAAAATACATTATAGTTTATCGAGTCTTTATAGTTATAGAATTTTATCGACGATTCTCTTGACGATTCGACTAAGTTATATTAGCCGTGGACATGAACTGATTGGATTACAGCGATTTTAACGTCGGTAGAGACCAGACCAGACTATATTCAACTACGTCACTAGATTGTTCTATGAAAGATTGCTACAAAAAGCACTTATGGTATCCGTTTCTGTAAACCTATTTATCGCTGGGTTCAAAGCAGCTGATAACTTTAAGCCCTTTTACCGTTTGACATTAAAATATTTTTTAATTTCTATCGCTCTCGATCGCTATTATCCACGAATGGTGTGTCGTGAATAATAATGGTTATCAGTAGAAAGGACATTAGGCGACTGCAACTCATTTTATTTACCACAAACTTATTCATTTATTATTAATAACATGAAAGAAGGTTAAAAGTAAGAGTTATAAAACGTCTAATTTGCCAAGCTTCCGCCAACACGGTGTCATTACTCTAGCTCAGTCAGTTAGGCTGTAGGTAATCAGTAATGTTTGTAACATAAATTACAAGTACCCACCTTATTTCGTTGATACTCTGCTGAGAGTAGATTTTTGTGACAGCTAGAATCTTAGCACTGTTTATTACAGAAACATATTTTGTCTGATAATATGAAATGTAAACAATTCCGGCGGTAACTTTGAAATGCGTGGGCGGCGCGCGTGCGGTAAGTATATTCCATTTCGTAAATAATATTGTATGTATAAGAGTAAATATATTACTCGTTAGACTGTTGTGAACTTTATGTAGGTATTCAGAAAATATCAACACACATAAGGTATAAGTTCTTGAAAATTAGAATACATACGATTATTGTTTTTAAATGTAACTACGAGAAGGGTAAGTATTATAAACAATTGAATTGTTTATCAGTTTTGGTGAGAAGGATGATGAAAAATTTTGATTTATAAAATCAATAAAATACCTAGGTATCTATGTATATATGAGGATAAACCTTGTCAATTACAAATTAAAAAACGGTAGTAAAACAACAATTGTAATGTTTGTACAATTGTTGTTTTACCGCAAATATAATTATATAAAGTAAATTAATACTATTATTAGAAAAACAGAACAATATATATTTTTAATATTACAAATATATAATTTTTATTTTACATATCCATCCTACTATAGATAATCTCGCCCTTGTACATTTCATTTATATATTTAACATATTTCTCTAACTTGTGAGTATAATAAAAAATATGAGACAAACTAATTTATATATATATATAAGCTAACTTCTTATTGTAACTAGTATTATTGCAAATAGCGGTGCATTCTATGTAGACATCATTATGTATGTAACGAAAAATATTACGTAATCAGAAACCATCAGTACAAATATTGTCAACATAAATGAGTCTCTATGGAATGGGAGCAATTGAGAGGATGTCACGTAGCATTATATGTTCACACAAGCGACGCTATGTTCGGTAGATAAACAAAGAGTAAAACAAATTCTACCAAGCCAACGACTCTCGACTCTTGTAAACATTATGAGGGCGGGGAATTCAAATAAGATGTCATGTTGCAGATACCTGCTTGTATTTTAATTTAAATTATATTCTAACTAACATAAATATGAAATTGTTTGTTACCCTTTAGCGCTGTAACGGTTCTACCAACAGATATAGAAATAATCTTCATTCAAATATACTTAATGTTAGTACTTTTGTATACCATTTTATTTATTATAAAAAATATTTTATGGTAGTATTCGATGTATTTTATAAGATTTTATAAGATATAATACTCCATTATTAATACTGGAGAAATATAATAAATATAAATTTAAATTCAGACTTATTATATTTCTTCATATAAAAAAATTATGATATAATATTTCCAGTAGATATTTTTACATCGGAAAAAAGTTTTAGTAATGGTAATATAATCAGCGCATAGAATACTAAGGCTATATGTATGTGGAAGTCAAAGGTTAACCTTTTCTCATTTATAATACAATTTATATGCTACTTGAAGTATTCACATTTTTGTACAGGTATAATAACATTTACGTCGCCAAAAGAGCTAAAGGTCAAACACTAAAGTTACGAAAGAAAATCGTGGGATTGTTCGTACGTATATACTAGATTATGAGTCGTGGCTTACCGCACTCACTCGAGGCTTACTTACTTAAGCCATGTAATGTATTATACATACCTATGTACCCATAGAATGTAACTAACACTAAACTCTTATACCAAAATGTTACATTATAATACACTACCGACACACTTCGGACGGTTTTAGGTAGTGTATGAGATGGATGGTCGTATATTTACAAATAAATCATTAATAAATAACCCAGTACAATTAACACAGCGTCATCGATCGCATGGTAAGCACAGCTGTGTTATGGGTACTAGGCACCTGATATAAATACTTTTTTTTATAAATACATACATAATATACATAGAAAACACCCAGACCGATACAAACAATGATACTCATGAATACAAACGTTTGAACCTTGCGAGGAATCGAACCCTCGACCGTCGGAAATAAAGCGGTGTGCTAGATCGATAGACTAACGAAAACATCATTAAGAAGAATCTCTCTAAATGTGGATGAAATTCGTATTAGAATATATTGCAGGGTTCAGAATAATAAGTGTTACAACAAACGAAAACACCGAATTCATTTTATACTATTCGAGAAGCTGAACAATAGATATATTTACATAAACAATATAAAGACGTACTAAATGCAAGTGTGCAAGAAGGAATACTTAATTTACGATCCTCTTTAACGATTCTCTCTGAAATGTCATAAAGAACTTGTCTGCTAATTATAGCTTTCGATCAAGTATTCTAGTTATGATATGCTTGTACTAGGTATAATTATAGGATACTTATATATTGGTTGTATTATAGGTATTCAATAATTTATTTATAGTATTATTTGTAGCATTCCCAAATTTAAAAGCTCATTAATAGAAAGATTCTTTTGCTATCAAGGTAACCTCCAGTACAACAAAATAAATAAAATATTTATTAATATTAACTCCTTGTCAAAAATTCTATGTAAAAAGTATCTCAAAACCTGGCTAAAGAAGTTAAGTTATGACGAAACAGAAAACTTTATACTGTAAATACAAATTATACCTTAAATACTATAAAAAAGTTTGATTACGTGGTTATCGGCATATAATGAGTTATTTATCTTTAACTGGCTTTATGTATTTTTATTGTTTCCTTTTTTTTATGGAATATGTAATGTTATGTTAAGTAGTATGTATGTTTTTATGTTGTGTAAAAGCAAATGTTAATAAATGAAATATTATGCACCCTGGGAATGTGACATTTGAGATATATATTTCTATGAATATATATTCATAGAATATTATATTGAGATATATATTCTATTTATATAGATGTATAATTCTATACTATTATAGTTCAGATGGCACAATTACCCTTGTATGTTCAAATTGTATTGGCTCTTATATACAACTTAATTATGTAACTCAACCCATAACTGCAATAATTTTGTTCTCAGCTTTTACTGGTTTTATTATTATTATTTTTTTATAAACATATATTTTATATATCTCCCTTTTTACAGGGGTAATACATTCAAACACGCGGGCCTTAGCCAAGCGTGGATGAGTTTAAAAGTTATACGAGGATGATGAAAGTGAAGACGACAGAATTATTATTATTATTTCAGTGTTACTTTCAAAAACAAGTTTTTCAAACTCAAATATACAACAAAAAATAAAACGAATATAATTTATTATTTTTAAAAGAATAAATTTTCTCACTTTACATAAATCAGAAAATGGCTCATCCAACCTAAATTGTCGTAGGTCTAATTATAAAAAATCCACTTCAGCTTTAACAAAATGTGTATGAATATAAAATGGGAGTTAATTCAAAGCAT